CGCTGGGTCGCTGCGTGGCTCTGCCCCCCATCCATGAGGACCGCGTTGTCCCTCGCGCCCCCATCTCCCTGCCCCAGGCCCTGCGGGAGCTGCTGGCACAAGGCTCACCAAGGCAGCGGGAGGAGACCCCTGAGGAGGAGGAGGAGGAGGAGCTGGAGATAGAGAACCCCTACCTGAGCCCTCAAGAGCAGGCACTGATGGGGTCCCACCATGGGACACCCAGGGATAGTGATGGCTGGGTGGATGGGGGCTCGCTCCCAGGGACACTGAGGCAGGCAGAGGCAGAGGAAAAGGCTAAAGCGGTGGCTGGGGCCTTGTCCGACCGCAGCCTCCTCTTCCGAGGGAACGTCCTCAAGGGCATGGCACTGCTCTCCCACTTTTTGGAGCACCGGGGGGCTGTGGGTGAGGAGGCAAAGCCCTACTCACGCCTGGACAACAGTGTGCTCTACAGCCGCTTCATGGCCCCCAACGCCGCCTCGCTGCAGGACATGGGGGGCACGGGCTCGCCCGCCCCCAGGGACCATAACGGTGGTGACCACCCTGGCCCTGAGGTGGCCGTGCTGGAAGCTCCAAGTCCCGGCTCTGTTCCTCCTGTCACCAAAGAGTCAGAGAGTGCCATGGCCCTGTGTCCCACTGATGTCCTGGTGAGTGAATCCCAAACACTTGGGGAGCAGCTCTGCCCCCCGGGCATGCAGAGGGTATGGGGGTATGGACCTTGGGGTCCCAGAATGGGGCTTGTGCTGCCTGTCAGAGGGGCCATGGAGTGAAAGACTCTGGTGTAATGGGAGGGTACTGGGATGGGTGATGGATGGGTACTGGGGTGGGTAGTGGAAGGGTACTGGGATGGATGGTGAGATGGCCAGAACCCCATCCATAGGTTATGGATGAGTGATGGGAGGGAAGCACCCTGGGTGACAGCAGGGTACCAGGGCAGGTTATGGAAGGGTACCAGGTCAAGCGATGCTAGGTTGTCACCCTGGATGATGGGAGGATCCTGGGTTGCCACCAACGACGATGGGAGGGTCCCGGGCAGGGAGGCTGTCACCAGCAGCGCAAGAATCCCGAGGTGTGGCTGCTTGGGGCGGTGGGAGGACTCGCCAGATGCCAGACGCTAGCCTGCACTGCTGGACGATGGCTGACACCACCGATGTCCCCCCGCGCCCCTCACACCCCCAAACCCCTGTGTGTGTGAGGCAGGAGGACAAGGACGGCTTTGAGAAGATCAACACCAGACCCGGCAAGGTAAGGGGAGCATGGCAGGGCTGGGACGGGCAGAGGGGACCCGGGGCCAAAGGGAGAGCCCCC